GACCCCCGCGCCCATTTGTCGCGCGCACCCCGCCCGCGCGCGCAGCCTGCGCCCCCCTCGCCCGCATTTTCCGGCTGTAACCGGAGATTTCTGCTGCTGGCGCTGGGCTCCTTTTCCCCGCGACGGCAGAGGGCACTTGGCACCCCCGGAAGGGGCCCGTTTGCCCGCCCCGCGGCCCTGCTCGCCTTTCTTCGGGCCGCTCGGGTCTCCGTGCCCCCCCAGTGCCGGCCGCGCTCCCGGGCGCCGGCCACATTGTTCTCGGGCCTGGCCGGCGTCTCGCCCCTCACCGCCCCCGCCCCCTCCTGGGAGAGCCGTCCCTGGCCCTGGCTCGGGGCCAGGCTTGGGGGCCTCCCCGCCACTTCCCGTGTCACTGCGATTTGTTCTCCTCCCTGGGGGGACGCGCAGCCCCCCCGCGGCGGCGTGTTGATTGGGGCTGAAGTGCTTCTCCTCGACTTGGAGGATGCGGGCGACGCTGGAGCCCCCAGCGCTGGGAGCCCATCCCCGCCCGCGCGGGACCTGTTGGACTCTGCGGCCGTGCGCCTGTGCCACCAGCGGGGATCGGCGCGCAGTGGCCCCGGGACGGGGCTGCCTGGGCCCTTAAACACCCTGCGCTTTGCCTTCTAGACACAACAGCTGGGAGCCGGAGGAAAACATCCTGGACCCGAGGCTGCTCCTGGCCTTCCAGAAGAAGTGAGCCCTGACGGCCCTGGGGGCCAGGGCGGGGGTGGGTGGGCAGTAGCCCTGCAGGCCCGGGGCTGCTCCTGGCCTTCCAGAAGAAGTGAGCCCTGACGGCCCTGGGGGCCGGGGCGGGGGTGGGTGGGCAGTAGCCCTGCAGGCCAGGGCATCCGGGCCTGAGCTGTGGTCTGAGCTGTGGTCTGAGGCCACTCCGCGGCAGCAGGTCCCCACGCAGTGTCCGCGGCGACGAGTGCAGTCTGAGCAGGCTGGTGGGGAGCCCTCCACGGCCGCCCCGGCCAGGCCTGAGGAAGTGCTGCTCCCGGCCCGCTGCTGGCCACACCGGCTGGCCGGACGGTCTTCCTTCCTGCGAGGCCCCGGCCAGCCACGCGTGGGCAGGCGGGGCCCCGAGAGGGAGCCGGATGCCCAGTGCCGCTGGCTTGTGAGCCTGGGTCGAGAGCAGCGTGTTCGTTTCTCTCCAGGCCGTGAGACAGGTGGCACTGGGGAGGCCCCGGGGACCCCCTTGCCGGTCCCAGGAGCCTGGTCAGTTTCTGTAATTCTGGACACTGTTTCTGGTTTTAGGTGGGAGCTGCGGGGGGAGGGCGTGGGGCCAAGGGCTGGCTGGGCGAGGTGTGGGGCGCCGCAGGGCTGCGGGAGGAGCCCCAGCTCTGCCTCCTCATCTGTCTGCTGTAGCAGGACAGCTGTGGTGTCCTCAGGGCCTGTGAGGGGAGCAGAGGCCCGGCTGAGCCCGGCGCCTGGCCCCAAGTGCGCTTGCTGCAGCAGCCCAGCAGACGAGAAGTGGGGTCAGCCTGTGCGGGGGCTTGGGGGTGGCGTGGCGCCTGGGCCCTGCACCTGGACCGGGCCCCTTGGCAGCAGGAACTGGCCCAGGAGCCTGTCCAGTCAAGCCTGGGAGGGAGGACACTTGCAGGTCCCTGCGGGCCACAGGCGGGGGTCTCCAGCTGGGCTCGGTGTGGGCAGGGCATGCAGGGGGCTCTCTGGCGGCCCGGCCCGTGCGGGCGTGGGGTGCACCTCCAGCAGAGACAGCCTAGAGCTCCTGCTGGCGGGCGGGCGGTCTGCAGAGTGCCCGGTGAGCAGCTGTGCTTAGTGGGCTTGGGGCAGGGGACCGCCCGCCCCCCGGCAGCTGGCGCCGCGGCGGCCGTCCCTCTGCGAGCAAAGCAGTGGGAGTAAAGATGAAGCTGACCCGCGCGGCAGGGTGGGGGCTCCGGCCGGCCTGCCTGAGAGGCCCTCTGGAGACGTGAGAGGCGTCCTCCGACCCCAGCGTGGGCGCCTTGGTGCACCCTGCTGCGGGGAGGCCCGCACGCCCCCCACCACGGCTGCCGTTTGCAGGGAGCAGGAGAAGGAAGCACACAGCCGCAAGAGGGGCAAGCGGCCGCGGGGCCGGCCCAGGAAGCACGCGGTGGTGTCCTCCTGCAGCCGGCACAGCAAGCTCAAGGTGGGTGCCCGCCGGCCCTCGCCTGGTGCAGGAGGAGGTGGGCGGCCCGCGGGGTTTGGGGGTGGGGCCAGTGGCCCCTCCCGGGCTGGTGTCAGCCTCGTTCACAACTGTCCCGCCCCGGCCTGCCCACTGGCCGGGCCCCTGGCCCACGGGCCGTTGCCCAGCCTGACCCTGTGACGTGGGTGAGCTCGGAGCGCGGGGAGCGGACGCCCAGCGGGGCGCTTGCGGTGAAGCTTCACCCGCAGCCCGGCCGACGGGTGCAGAGGCGTGTGAGGGGCCAAGTGCCTGCGCCGTGCCAGAGGGGCGCCCACCCACGCAGCTCTGCGCCAGTGTGGAGCGCGTCTCAGTCCTTCCTCGGGGCACTGCCCTCGGGCCCCGGAACCAGATCCTGTGGCCAAGAGCCCCACCGGGGCCACCCTGGCCTCCTGCTGGCCTCCAGACCCTCCTTTCCAGCAGGAAGGCGGCGGGGCTGCGGGCCGCCCAGACAGCGCAGTGCCTGTCCCGCGCCTGTGGCCGGTGCGCCTGGTGCCGGGAGTCCCGGGTAGGGGTGGGCCTGGGCCCGGCTCGCCAGCCGGTCTCCCTGCTGTCCCTCGCCCCGCTCCTGCCCACAGCCCCGCCCTGGGTCCGTGCTGACGGCCCCCTCGCCTCTGCAGGAACCCGACGCCCCCTCCAAGTCCAAGTCCAGCAGCTCCTCCTCCAGCTCCTCGTCCTCGTCCTCGTCCTCCGACGAAGAGGACGACAGCGACTCAGACGCCAAGCGGGGCCCCCGGGGCCGCGAGACCCACCCCGTGCCTCAGAAGAAGGCCCAGATCCTGGTGGCCAAGCCCGACCTGCAGGACCCCGCCCGGAAGAAGCGGGGCCGCAAGCCCCTGCCCCCGGAGCAGAAGGCGGCCCGGAGGCCCGTGAGCCTGGCCAAGGTGCTGACGGCCGCCCGCAAGGACCTGGGGGCGCCGGCCGGCAAGCTGCCCCCTCTGAGCGCGCCCGTGGCCGGCCTCGCTGCCCTGAAGGCTCACGCCAAAGAGGCCTGTGGGGGCCCCGGTGCCATGGCCACCCCAGAGAGCCTGGCCAGCCTGGTGAAGGGCGGCCTGGTGGGGGGCGTGGCCACCGGCCCCGGCCGGGGCGGCATCGGCTGGCAGAGCTCCATCGCACACTACATGAGCCGGACTGGCCAGGGCCGGCCCCAGGCCGCCAGCAGGCCAGCCCTCCAGGCCCAGGCGGCGGGCAGGTGTGGCCTGGGGCTGGGCCTCAAGGTGAGGACGCCGAAGGGGGGGCTGGGGGCCAGCCCCCCAGGAGGCAAAGGCCCGAAGGCTCCCGGCAGCGGGGCTGTGGAGCAGAAACCGGGGAGCGCAGGAGCCGCCCCCCACCTCCACGGCGGCAGCAAAGCCCCTGCCGGGTGCCTGGGCCCACAGCCTGCGCCCACCCAGGAGCTGAGCCTCCAGGTCTTGGACCTGCAGAGCGTCAAGAACGGCGCGCCCGGGGTGGGCGTGGTAGGCCGGCACCCCGCGGCCCCCAAGGGCGTCCCCGCCGCCAGCCCGGCCACCGGCAAGGGCCCCGGCCTCCCCCTGGGGAGTGGCGGCTGCGCGCCCTCCAGCAGCAGCAAGAGCGAGAAGCAGGCCGGCAGGGCGGCCGCGCCGCCCCCTGCGGGCAAGAGGGACTGTGCCCCCGGCGGCCAGGAGGGCCCCCCAGCCCCGGGAGAAGCCCGCCAGGCGGCCGCGCTGTCCGAGATGAGCACGGGCGAGGAGAACAGCAGCTCCGACTCGGACCCCGACTGCGCCTCGACCCCCGGCGCCCAGCACAACCTCTCAGTGTCCGTCCAGACCAGCCAGGACTGGAAGCCCCCCCGCAGCCTCCTGGAGCACGTCTTCGTCACCGACGTCACCGCCAACCTCATCACCGTCACCGTGAAGGAGTCCCCCACCAGCGTGGGCTTCTTCAACCTGAGACATTACTGAGCCCCTCCGGCCTCCTCAGGGCCCTGGCCCGCAGGCAGGCGTGGCCGGCTGCGCCCAGGCCCACTGCCTGCGACGGCGGGCTCCGTGCCTTGAGGCCGCGCCCAGGCCGGCCTCACCCTGCTCCTACCTCTCTGGGCGCTCTGCTCCCCATCTCACCTCAGGAAGTCTGTGGGGACTCCCGTGGCTCCGGCACGGGGTCTTGGACCAAATCCCGGCCCGGCGGGGGCTGCCGTGGTCACTGCGCAGGCGCCCGGTGGTAGGGGAGGGGCCGGCACTGCCTCAGGGCCCTGCGGTCACTACCCCGGGCCGCAGTGCGCCCCCAGCGGGCGCCACGCAGCACTGCCCCTACCAGCTGGGCACCGCATCCTTGGGAGGGCGCCGATGGGGGCTCTGGAGGTCGGTGCCTCTAGTGGGATAACACCTACAGCCCCCAGATGTGTCCAGCAGGCTGAGGGGACTGTCCCCAGGGTACCTCCGGGGAAGCTGAGGAGGCTGGACTTGCTGCTGGCCTTAGAAAGGCCACTTGCACCTCACAAAGTGCCCCGGGCCCTGGAGGATGCGATGTGGACAGTTGTAGGAACAAGACCCACTCACCCACCTGACTGACCCCTGCTGACCTCCAGCTCCTGTGCAGGTGGTGGCCACGGGCCCCCACCCCCCCCAAGTGGGCAGACACCTGACAATCGCCCCTGCTCGGGGCTCCCGTTCCCATGTGAGATGCCGTGTTCCTGTGTCTGCTGGGGACTGGGGTAATGCCCAGGAGCCCCACGTCCTGCCCAGGGGGCTGAGCAAGAGCCCCCGAGTTTAGCCTCCTGAACTTGGCTGGGCAGAGGCGGCCAGCAGGCAGGCGGGCCACTGGGTCCTCAACACCAAAAACGTGGGGGACCTTCTTTGGGTTACCGGGTAGGAGCCGGCAGGTGTGGTCCCAGAGCCCCGTCGCAGGGGAGTGAGGACTTGGCGTGCTCATGTGTCTGGAGCAGCCCCCCGGGCCCCGACTCGCCCCACCCCAGGCCCCACTCTCCCTCCGAATCTAAAGAGACAGCTTTTGTTCAGCCAAATGGACCTGACCATGTGCCTTTGGGGGCGGCTGACCAAGCGAGGTCCAGGAGCCGCCTTGGGCCGTGTACACCACGGCCAGGGGACGGGCCCCCTTCTGCGCCCAGGGCGGAGAGACCCACTCATTGCCCAGCTGGGGAGGAGGACCCCAGGCCCGTGTGTCCGGGGGTTCCCCGGGTCCCAGCCCTGTGTCCCTGTGGGTGCTGACCACCTCCAAGTTCTCCAGCGCCTCCATGGCGCCTGGCTGCCTTGGGCACAAAGCTAGGCCAGCAGCACCCTCCTGCCCGGCCCCAGGGTGGCCACACAGCCCAGTCCTCACCCCGCAGCCCCACTGGTGCCTTGTTTGATCCCAAAGCGACCACCCGCCACACCGCCTCCCCGCGCAGGCTGTCGCCCTCCAAGCGGCATGTTCGGGGCACTCGCACCCCTGGGGAGCAGCAGGCCAGGCCTCCGGGAGTGCCCGCCGCTGCGTGTGGGGTCTTTGTGTCACTGCTACCTGTGCGTGCTGGGCGCCGACCCCGCGTGGCCTGCGCCCCAGGACTGGCAGCCAGCAGTGGCCGGCTGGCCTCCATGCAGGGTCAGCATATTTTTCTATATATATTTTTGGTACCAAAAAGTGTGCCCTGCCTTGGCTGTGCTCAGTTCTGGCCTGACGGGAGGACTTGGAGCCCAGCGTGCCCGAGGAGGGCTGGGGAGGACCAGAGTCCGACGCGCCCGTCCTGGGCTTCATTTGTGTTTCTGCATTAAAGAGAAGCCAGACCGTTCGTGTAGACGCTGATTGCTTCAGACGCTGGCTGCTTGTTGGCCTCAGAAGAGAGCAGGCATGGTCATGCTGCTGCCTTGGCTGGAGAGCCTCGCTGAGACCGGACAGTGGCCCAGCCGTGTCCCATCAGGACCCCAGTACACCCCGGGGGGTGGGGGCAGTGCCGCCGGCCCCGTGGAATGTCCACGCTCACCTACGGGCGCCGTGGCTTTGCCGGCATTTTGCAGAAGGCACGTGGGCGCAGGTTGCCGGGGCCTCGACTGACGTTCTTTATTTCCAGGGCAGCGGCGTTAGTGAGCCGGGTCTCAGGGCTGTCTGCTAGCTCAGTATATCCGTCAATCACTGTCAGCTGGCGGTCGCCTTCGTCTTCCCCTGGTTTAACTACTCTGGACAAGGCCTTGCTGGAGGGACAGGTGGAAACAGGCTTTGGGGAAGGCCCAGCCACTTTCCAGGCAAAGGATAGAGCTGACAGAGCCCCAGGAGACGCCGCCTGTTGGGGGGGGGGGGCTGCTACTGGCGGTCAGAAGCAGGGTGGGAGACCACAGGGTTGGCAGACCTGGCCTCCCTCCAGCGGCTGCACGTCTGGGCAGCTGCTCTCGGCCAGGCCATCCGTGTGATGACCTCTTTAAAGACATGGCTGTGAAGTTCTGGGGTGCTGCCAGGAAGCCCGAGTAGCTTCCAGTCCTGTGACCCCCAGGAGCCCCTGGCCCCTCCAAATGAAAAAGGGACACACTCGTTCTTGGCCTGCCTCGCCCTTTAGGGGGCGCCCGCGTGCGCAGCAGTTTGAGCCCCAGCAGCGCACGGCTCCCTTTGGAGTGAGAGGGCCCCGCCTGCGGGTGCTGGGCCTGGACCCGGCCCCAGACTCGGGCTGTGGCCGCTGCCCCAGCTGCGCTGTCCCTCGGGGCTGGAGCTGTTTGGCTTTGGAGGTGGGCAAGGACGCGCTAGGCGCTGCCCTCCTGCTCTTTGAGGGCCTGCGGGAAGGCGCTGGGAGGCTCCCAGGGGAGCCAGGCACTCGGGAGCCCGTTGCTACAGGGCTGCGGCAGACTGGTGTAGAAGCCCGTCTGCCTCTTGGTCTCTGCGCTGCCGGCTGCTGGCTGCCCCAGAGCCTGCCCGGATGAGCTGCGCTGCCCAGGGACCCAACGCAGCTCGAGGGTCCGGCCCACAGCCTCCCCCGGCCCAGCCGGGCGCCAGCCAGCGGGGCCTGACCCGGGGCGCCCCGCTAAGGGCGAGGAGAAGTGGATCCGCCCGACACGTCCTTTCGGCTTCCGCCCGTGCGGCTCGCGGCCGGGCCTCAGGGAGCGCTCAGAGGCGCCGCGGACGGTGGCCCACTCCGCGCGCTCTCGGGGGGGCACGAGGCATCATTCCCCGCTCCCCCGGACTCAGAACACTGGCCCCCGAGGGCGGCACGGCGACAGGGGCTGAGGCCGTCACCCCTAGAGGGCGCGCGCGGCCCGCGAAGTTCAGTCCCGAGCCGGCTGAGCGCCCACTCAGGGCGCTCAGCCGTCCTGCGCAAGCCAGCGTGGGTCCCGGGCCCGACCGCCCCGAGCGACCCCCCGTTGCAGGAGGAAAGCCCTTCCCCGAGTGCTGGCCGGAAGCCCGACGTCCTGGAGCTCCGCCAATCTCTGAGCGGCTCCCATTCGGACTCCAGCTTGGGGTCCCCCTCTGTACCCGAGGACTTCCTGCCGAGGAGAGGAAAAACGGATCCGACGCCAGTTCTGGAAAGAGTCATAAAGAGTCCAGTCTAACCAGTGCTTCTGGTGGGCCACGCTCCGGGCTGGCGGCCGCTGCAGAAGCGGGGCCTCTCTGGCGAGCCAGCCCGGGCTGGACCCAGCGCCGCGAGCGCAGGCCTGAGCGCCGGTCGCGCCCCAGTCGCGCCCCGACGGTGCTGGGCACGTAAAGCCGCCGAAAGAGCGCCAGGGCAAAGCCCAGGGCGAGGGCGGTGGCCCGGCCCCGGGATCCTGGCAGCCCCGGCTGCCCGCCTATCTGAGTGCCATTAGGCTGCCAGAACACCGAGGTGCAGACGCGGGAGGGAGCCTGACCAGGCGGCTCGGGCTGCGACCCTGGCCTGTCGCCCCACTCCAGCCCACCACCTCCGACGCCAGGCTCGGTTATTGGCCACCCCAGGCCTGCTCTCGCTGCGTCGGGAGCACCCCCACCCCCATGCCTGCCAGAACTGGCGGGAAGAGGCAGCGCGCCCCAGGCGGGGTCACGCCCGTCGGAGCTCGGGAGCACAGAGCCTCCGGGAGGGCTCTGCAGGCGCGGAGACCCGGCTTTCTCCGCCCGACTGCGTCTGCGGAGGCTCCTGAGGTGGGCCGGGGTCAGTGCGACGGGCTCCCTGCCGGAGGACGCTGTCCGCTGTCCGGGCGGGCTTCGCGACCCCGCCCCCACGGCTGCCAAGTCCGCGCAGCGAGGGCTGAGGCCCCCACGCCCCCTCGAGCTCAGCTCTCCCGGACGGTGCGGCCGGCGTCGGGGCTTCTGTCCCTGGAGGACGGGGCAGAGCATCTCTGGGGGCTGGCTGGGCGGGGGCGCGGACGGTGGGGCGGCTGCGGGTTCACTAATCACATCAGCGCGCTCGCGCCGGCTCGGAGCAGCAGTTGCCTAGCAATGCCCGCGAATTCAATTCCTCAATCAATAGGCGCGAGGCGCTGCATTTCGGGGAGCGCTGGCCAGACTGCGTGGATCTGGGGGTCAGTTCCATGGGGGCCCTGGAGACCAGGCCGGGAAAGCCAGAGTCAGGTTGTGAGGTGCCCAGCGACGGGACCCTCGACTTCCGGCCTAGGGGGTGGGGCGCACCGTGGGAGCCCCGCCAGAGGAAAGGGAGCCCGGAAAGGGAACCGGAGGTCGCACCGTTCTCCCGGGCTCCGAGTTCAGAGTTCAGCCCCTGTCCCAGGAAACTGCTGTGAAGAAGGCGTCAGCCCTCCCCCCCAACACCAAGCCCCACACGGAGAACCCCGGGGCCCTCCCACCCGGCTCCCTCTCCCCATCCCACCTGGGGTCCCTCCTGTCGGGTCCACCGATCGCAGGGACTGGTGGGCAGTGAGGGAGGGGAAGAGCGCGCCCCGCCCGCCTCCTGCTCCTGCGGGGGCGGGGTGGGGAATAAAAGCAGACTCGGCTCTGTTCACAAAGCATATATTTAAACAGGAAAAAGCGGCCTCGGACAGACACCGCGCAGAAGACAGGCCCGAGCGTCCCTCGAGCTGGGCGCAGAGCGGCTGGAGCTTTGTACAAATCTTAGAATTAAATAGACCCACTCGCATGCCACGGGCTGCCACTCCCCGACCCGCGGCCGCCGGCCCCCCACCCCCCAGGACAGCCTCGCGAGAGCGAGCAACGGACACACACGCACGTCCACGAACAAATGGCAGGACAGAGGCGGCGGGGCAGGCCTGGCCGCCAGGGCCGAGGGAGCGGAGGCGCAAGGGCGGCCTGGAGGGGGCGG